TACACTGTTGGATTTAGCATTTTGTTGCCACGGCGTATACGCAACCGGCCTGCCGCGAACGCCATCCGAGGCGTCAGCAGCAACTGACATCAAATGTTACGCGCTTTCAGTGGTCAGCCATCAAATAGATGAGATTTGTAATAATTTACTGTTAGCTTTTTGTTTTTTTTTTACTGTTCAAACACATGGCAACAGAACGTATGTATGTATATTTGCATATACAGACATACATACCTAGTATAACGAATGACTGTCAATAACAGCACTAAATTAAAATTCATAATTGAGTGTTGGTGTTTGCTGACCACGGAAATGGCTTGCGCTAGCGCATATGTTACACGCAACAAGCAATCAAATGTGGGTTTTCAAATATTTTGCATTTTTCGGTTCATTTTTTTTGTCATCATCATCCAAGCATACATATGTATTTACATATATGCATACATACATTCATGTAATACAAACACTTTATTTATGAAATATGAATTTCCGCATGATGCAAAAACCATTGGAAGACATACATACATAAGTAAATGAAAGTATACATAAGTAAATATATGTACACATTTATGACATTTTGCATAAATCAAAGTCACTAATAAAATAGTAACGGAACTGCAAATACATGCATATGCAGCACGGAAATTACAAATTGGGCAGCAGTCAGTAGAAGGACCTAGCAACCATCATGAAGCATTGAAGGCAATTCAATATTTTCATTTGTTCGTAAGTATTTGTATGTATGTATATATGTACATTTTCGATAGCTATTCGTCCTTGTGCACCAAAAAGTTAATTTTTTTTTTTAATTTTACAGCATTTTCTTGTTTATTTGATACCCATATTGTTATTCTACATTACACTTCCATGAGAACCAGTTAGTGAAGTATTTTTTTTTCTTTTTTAATAGGGATAATCTGAAGTACTTTATAAATAGCAACAACTAAAAATTTCTTACTCGGCGCCCAGGGGTGGCTAGTGAAACCAAGGACACCCACTAATTTAATGGAATGATTAAGTGCATAACGACCAGTGTACTGCTTTTTCCTCTTATATAGCTCAACAACCGCTATTCGGTTCGGGCCGAGGACAAAGCGTCGCAAATATCCCCTCTTCTTTACCAAGAACGTAGCTGACACTACTTTTCCAAAATAGTTTTAAAATAGAATAGATACAAAATTTTATATGTATTTATTTGGTTATCTATGTAGAGCATTTTCCAAGAGTTGCCGCACTGTGAAATCTGTTCTGTGATGCACTTACCAGGTCTAAGACCACACTGATAATTCGAATGAGTGGGCACATGAAAGCCTACAGTTTTTCATTGCTATTTTGAAATGACTTATCCCACTCTAATTGGCACCAACAGCAGAATATCTCTTCTTCGGACACGTTTTCATCAGGCCAAAATTGTACTAGCAGCTTGTAAGTATGACCAGCTCTTCACCATTCCTTTTGTACAGCTCAGCCAAAATATTGTTAGCTCCGGGTTGTTTTGTTGTGTTTTAGCCGAAGTATGGCTGTCCCCACCTTGTGTTGGTCGAGTGGATGAACATCGTCTCTTTACTTTGGGCTGAACTCTTCTTTATCAAACGCTTTGGAAAGTATTCCCTCTTTCTATTAAGTCCCTAATATACGATTTCCTACTTTTTTTCTGCAGGAACTATCTCAGGGTGTGAATCCAATCAATTTCTGCTTACTTTCTGATAGCTCTGCGTACCAATGTCTTTCGGCCTTTTTTTTCTCCTTGAAAAGACGTCTCTCTCTAAGGGAATGGGCGTCCACAACTAATAGTAGGTTTAGATATACATATGTAACTAGCATTGCTTCAAAAACACATAAATATTTGGAAAACAATTTCGTTTAACGTATATTATATTATATTTACTTAAAAATATACCAACATTATAGAGTTACATAGAAATGTATAAGCATTCTGCTATAAAAACAAAAAACATAAAAAATCATTACATAAAATTTAAATGCTTTTCGAGAGTCCTTTGTTCTTAAGTTTACGAAAAAATTTTAGAAAAATAAAATGAAATATAAAAGTACTTATATCTTAAGGCTAAGAGAGCGAGCGAGTTTATTACAATGCTATTAATTATAAAAACATACAGGACCCAATTCGATGCGGAACTGTTGATTAGCCTCACCAATATCTCTGATTTTAATATCAACTATTGGCAGCCTCTGTGGCTTCTCAGTTTTATAAGTGATCACCGTTTTAGCCCAAGAATCGGAGCGATGCTGAAACACACAGAACAATCATTATCATTTTAAAGAAAGAGCTCAGTATCTCACTCGTGCTTACCCTGCATTCATCACTTTCGGCCTCATAGCGCAGGCGCAGCGGTCCCTTTGGCGTTAGCTCGGCATCATTCCATGACAACAGCTTTAAGCCGTTACTAAAATATAAAAGTTTTTCCAGTCACTCCAGCAAGTTTTTATTTAATATTATTCTCTCTTACCGATCCTTCGATTGGTCCTCATCCAAATAGCCAATCGTATTTCGACAGTTGAAGGTAATCTTCTGTGATGCCTTGGCGGACAGCAATTGCAGGAATCCCAACTGATGCGAGTCGGTTTTGTAGGTGATCTTCATACCATCAGGCATCTCACTCAGCCATACTTCTTTCTCAGCGCCCTTATAGCTTAACTGGGGCGTTTCTTGTGGCTTTGGCAGTATGCATGAGCCACGTGTCTCGCGGTCACAATACACTAAGATAGCATCGCGCGGATCAGCTTCATTCGGATCGATCCAGTATTCACCAGATTTGTAGTCAGGGTAGGCAGCGAATAGGTCGCGGCAAGTTTTGGCTGGCGCCGATTGTTGACCGTTGGGTCGCCGCAGGCGCTCGAAAGAAGCTTTTAAGTGCTCAAAGGCCTTGATTACCATAGCTTCCTTTTCCTCATCGGAGAGTCCTTCAGGCAACAGATTTGGTTGGTCGCTTAGGATTTCCACACCTTTCGTTTGGCCTTGACTAAGTAAAGCAGTGAGCGCTGCAACATCGTAACCGACCGATTCGCCAGGTGGACCTGGTGGTCCCGGTGGACCAGCGGCTCCTATAGGGCCAGGTTTTCCTTCGTTACCACTGAACCCACGCGGCCCTGGTTGACCCGGGGGGCCTGGTGGTCCTGGATTGCCGTCGCGTCCTTGTGGTCCTCGCATACCAGTGTCTCCTGGTTTTCCGGGCTGCCCGGGTGTTCCTGACGGTCCCACGTCACCCTTCAGACCTTGCTGACCAGGCATGCCCTGCAAGCCGATAAGACCTCGGTGTCCTTTGATACCTTTTGGTCCGGGCTCACCATATTCGCCCTTGGGACCCTCTACGCCAGGTGGTCCAGGTTTACCACGTAGACCTTGCGGTCCTTCTACACCCGGCAGACCTGTATCACCTTTAAGTCCACGTTCACCTTGCAAACCTATTGGTCCAATAGCACCAGGTGGACCTGGGAGACCAGGATTTCCTGAAGGTCCAGGGTTTCCTTGTTGTCCCTGAGGTCCTTTATCCCCAGTGCGGCCAGAAATTCCCGGCGGTCCAGACTTTCCTGCTGGCCCCTCAGGACCAGACTCGCCCATTGGTCCTGGTAAGCCTTGAGGTCCTGAAAATTATATACCTTCTGTGTAAAAATTGTATTTCCTTTTTAAATCAGATCTCAAACCTTGCAAGCCTTGCGGTCCAAGTGCTCCGTCTTTTCCAGGTTTTCCCTGTGGGCCTGGCTCACCGGCTACTCCTCTCAAGCCACGCAAACCAGCTACTCCTGGTGGACCGGGCAGGCCTGGCATTCCTCGCTCACCAACATTTCCTGGTGGCCCGGAATTACCTGCAGGTCCAGGTGGTCCATCACTGCCGGTTTCTCCTTTTTGTCCTTCCGCGCCAGGTGCCCCCTGCAAACCTGGTGAGCCTTGATTTCCTGGCCGACCAGATTCACCAGGATTTCCCTTAGCTCCAGGGTAGCCAGCAACGCCTGGTAAGCCTTGACTTCCTGGTTGCCCCTGTAAAGCATTTTATTAATATTTATTTAAATTTTATCTCTCAGACAAAACTTACTGGAGGCCCTTGATCGCCGGGTCTGCCTGGTAAGCCACTTAGGCCAGGTTCACCTCTGATACCTGGTTCACCACGTGCACCTTTGGAGCCACTTAGTCCCACTGGTCCTTGTAGGCCTTGCTCTCCGGGAAGACCATGAGGGCCTGCGTTGCCTTGTTCACCTTTAATACCCATCAATCCACGGTCACCTTTTGCACCAGGTAGTCCTGCTAAACCTGGTGCTCCTGGAAATCCTGGTGGACCTTGTAAGCCGGCGGGCCCTCTTTCGCCAGCACCACCGGCTGCGCCTTGCTCACCTGGCGGTCCTGGGTTTCCAGGCTCGCCCCTTTCCCCTGATTCTCCGGGTGCACCAGGAGGTCCTACAATACCTTGTGGCCCACGGTCACCAGGACGGCCGGGCGGACCCTCAGGACCAAGTGAACCAGGACTACCACGCTCGCCTTTTTCACCTGGTAACCCGGAATGACCTCTTGGTCCAGGTAAACCTAACATTCCTGGCGCTCCCATGTGTCCTTTAGAACCAGGTTTTCCAGGTGATCCCTAAATAATACGCGATGAAAATCTTTTGACCAAAAGCATAACATATGCATATTTATTTTCAATACTTACTGGGGGTCCATCATGTCCTGGTGCACCAGGCTCTCCCCGCTCTCCAGGGGTTCCAGGCTGGCCAACTGGACCTCTTTCTCCCGGGTAACCACGTTCGCCACGCAATCCAGTAGGCCCAACTAGACCTTGTGGACCAGGCGGTCCGGCAGATCCATCTTTACCTGGAGAACCTGGACTACCAGTAACTCCGGGAAGACCTTGAAAACCTCTGGGACCAACCGAACCGGGCTCTCCACGCTCACCATCTTGACCAGGAGGACCACGAGGACCTTGTGCCCCTGGTAAACCATCCTTTCCGCTATCTCCATGAGGTCCTTGTGGACCCGGGGGACCCGGTTCACCATTTTTACCTGGCTCACCGGGGAATCCTTTATCGCCAGGAATTCCCATAGGGCCGGGTAACCCTTGCAATCCTTGTGGTCCTTGTTCACCAGGCTTTCCGTCCGCACCAGTAATTCCTCTCTCGCCGACCGGTCCTGTTTTACCGGGAGGTCCGATGCGACCTGGTAAACCACGTAAGCCTTGCACACCTGCTACGCCTGGTTGTCCCACATCTCCGGGGCTTCCTTTTATTCCGGGTGGACCTTGAATTCCGCGATCGCCAGGTGTACCTTTGGGTCCAATAGGTCCATCTGGACCTGAAAGTCCAGGCAACCCTTGTGGTCCTCTTTCGCCTGTTGGTCCAGATGGCCCAGTAGGTCCCCGCATGCCTCGTTTACCACGTTTCCCTTCCGGTCCCACCGTGCCTGGTAACCCTCGTGGACCTGCTTGGCCAGCTTCTCCTTTAATGCCCTGATCACCTGTGAAAAAATACCTTGAGTTTCAGGGAACTAATAAGTAAATTGCCTCTAAATGTATTACCCTTAAAACCGCGTTCGCCTGGTTGGCCCGGTGTGCCTTTCACGCCGGGTTCTCCTGGGCTACCAGGTAAGCCATCGGGACCACGTGATCCCGGAAAACCTTGGGGTCCAGCTATTCCTGGCGCACCCATCGCGCCTTTATCACCATTTAAACCGTCTTTACCAGGCGGTCCAGATATACCGGGTTCACCAGCAGCACCTGGGCGGCCAGCTTCACCGCGTGGGCCTTGCAGGCCTTGATCACCTTTTGGACCTGGATGCCCCCAATCTCCTTTAGCACCTGGGCTACCAGGAAAACCAGGGGGGCCAGGTTTACCTATTGAACCGGGCTGGCCTGCCACTCCTGGATTACCATCTAAACCTCTAGCGCCCGGTGGACCCGATGGCCCTTCTCGACCGCGCTCACCACGCGGGCCAGCAGGACCCTGTAAAATAATAAAATGCTTGACTATTTTCTTAGCAAAATGAAATTAAGCACAAAACTTACTTGCGGCCCAGTGGGACCAACAGCACCCATTGAACCTGTGCTCCCTTTCTCGCCAGCTGCACCTTGATCTCCCTTTGAACCATCAATACCAGGTAAACCATGATGCCCCTTCAAGCCGGGAATACCTGACATCCCAGGTAAGCCTCGCGGTCCTGGCGTGCCTGCAGCACCTTGCAATCCAGGTTCACCATCCTCCCCTGGCGCACCATCCTTGCCAGGTGGGCCAGGCAGACCGCGAGGTCCCATTAGGCCAGGAGGACCTTGTGATCCGGGTTCACCGGGCTCGCCGCGCATACCTTGAAAGCCTTGTGGACCCGCCGGACCCGAGTTACCAGGTGGACCACGCGCACCAACCGGCCCCACCGACGATTGCAGATATTGAAATTCAGGAACAAATGGTGGCGAGCTTGGACCCTTATCTGAATTCGCATACTCAGCAGCCAACTGTTGGTGATAGTAACTCACATCGGGTATTGGGCCAGGTGGGCCGGGATTTCCAGGCACACCAGGATTACCAGGTGAACCAGGAGTGCCACCCTCTCCAGGACGGCCCTGAGCGCCAGGATAACCAGGTAAACCTCGTGGACCCGTATAGACGCCTGCATATGGATTATCTTCACCGGCTGGCGATACGTTACGCTCAGTTGTTGTCGTGGTAGTAGAAGTCGCAGGCGGCAGGGGGACTCGACCAGATGGTTCTGCAAGAGGTGTACAATTTTCAGGTGCGCGACAGATCACTTTGCCCTCTGTGCAAGTACAAGAGTTCGTGCAGCCATTGCGTTCACTCGTAAATTCATCACCATCACGATACCAATTGCCTTCGAAATGACATGAAAAGGCACCGACGACATTGGCAGGGGCTTGTGGGCGTGGTCCAGCCGATGGGGTGTGTACTATAAAAGAAGGCGCATAGAAAGTAGTTCAAGGAAATGTAAACGACAATTGAAGTGTGCCTAGTGGGTAAGCAGGCTTACCTTCCTGATGAGTAACAAAGCCGTCAGCACCGCCTACATTGCCATCGGGATCTGGAAGGAGTAAAATGCAAAGCTTATACTTAGTTCGGGGAAATGCTTACGTATAAATGATGTAAGATAAATGCGTGTCTTCACATGTGTATATATGAATGGTTCTACAATTTTAAGCAATTAATATCTATCTATCAGCAAATATGTTGCTACAAGTGCAAGTAAGTTATGTAAATATTGCTGACATATGTCCCACTTATGCAACTTTAATTAATTACTGCTACTGCACTTTTATTAAGAATGGAGGTGCGTACAACCTTTTATGTATGTGTACATTAGAGTGGTCCAAAAATACATGTGAAAAAGTAAAGTCGGAATTTTAAAGCCGCCACCCCCTAGGATTATTCTATACCGAAAAAACGGTATCCCAATTTTTTTTTTTGAGATATAAAAAAAATTATGGAGTGCTCAAAGCGCTGAAAGTTTTCCATGTACTTTATATTGGGAAAAAACTACTTTGAAATTGTGTAGAATTCTTGAAAATCAATCAAATTAATTAAACAATGGGCTATTAATATTGGAAGTCTTGGATTTTTAAGAACTTCATACCATTTCTACGAAAAGTTTCCCAATATAAAATACATAGAAAACTTTGAGCGCTTTGAGCGACCTCTAAATATTTTTTGATTTAAAAAAATAGGCGTATGATTTTTCGGTATATAACAATCCTAGGGCGTGCCGGCATTAAAATTCCGACTTTACTCTTTTTGGACCACTCTAATGTACATACCTATGTATACATATATTAGCATTATGCTCTGACAGCTTTTTTATCAGCTTGTCAACTTACTGTAGACATACAAATTCTTGCGCATAATTTTGCACGCATAATACCGTATACATATGCATATATGTTCATTTATGTGTACATATTTCTGAACATTGTACATACATACATATGCAGATTAAAATTTTCCAATTCATCGGTTTTGAGTGAAGAAAAAGCAATTAAGGTAAAGTGTTTCAAAGTTAAGAGTTGATATGACAATATTCACGTGGAGGTGTACTTAGAAATATAGTGCTCTAAGTTTCTTCTGATTCAGAGAACAAAAATCTAGGAAGCCTACATCCAGCTAAATCATGTATTCGGCCTATTCTGTTGCCATATACCCCGCAGGAATTGCAACAAAGATAAGGGCTATTCAGTCCGAGAAGGAAAAATGTAGATTTTTTACTATAACCACATTCCTTCACTAGACTTCACCATCATTCTCAACAACAGTGCCGTCAGCGCAGCACTTTCTAGCTGAGAGTAGAAGGCTTAAAGATTGGTCACGGCCCACTCTTGGCGAGCAAAAGTCACGCTCTCCAAATCTTTCATCATGCCCCTTTTTGTAAGGCGCAGAAACATGAACTAGGTCGATCAAAGCTGTGAAAACTTAGAAGGATTTCATAAGAACTAATATATGCCGTATAGAAATTGATAGGAAAATGTCATGATTTTCGATTCGCACGAAAACAAGAATACGCCCCAATATCTAAGCCGCAGTTCCCATGGGTGACGGCTATCAAAGAAGATGGAATGACGAACTGCGTGAGCTTTTTAACGATATGGACATACTTAGACGCATTCGTCATAAGCTTGGGTAATGGCGATCTGGTGATGAACAACTGAAGCTACGTCATAAAATAGAGAGTCCATCGGCGAAGTTTTATGATCTCGGCCCAAACCGAAAAACAGACTTTAGCACCGATTTTTCAGCTTTGAGAAGTAGCTTAGTGCGTTGGCTGAAAGCAGAGTCATTTCATGACGATATCACAATTCTCTTCTGGTGTCGTTCTTTTGATGTACCGCATAAATTTGGTGCGATATCGGACAAAAATGTGCAGGATTTCAAAGAATGCATTCTAGTGCTCTAACGCTGTCTCCGTCATCAACAAGTTATCTGCCTTTGAAAATTTGATCATTTCAATGCACATTTAACATAAAAAAAAATAACTGCATAATATGTATGTATGTATGTACATATGTATGTAGCGGACGGATGACATGTATGTAAATTAATTTCTATACATTCGTTGTTCTCTTAACAAAATCATCAAACGCCTTAATCGATTTCACACTCATTTCAATGCTTCATTGGACTCATTTTATATATTCATTCGCTTATGATTTGCAGATGTGCTATTCTGATATTCAAATTTCGCATCATTCACATTGATTTTGTTGCATTTTTATTATTATTTTTTTCTTTTGGTTGTTTTGCATTTTTTTTCTTGTACATACTATCTGATGAAGTTGCAACAAGATTGCTTGCCTTAACATGCAACAAACATAAAAGTTTACTGCGCTCTAATTAACGCCAACAGTCGAGGTTGTCAGCGAAGCAATTGAAATCGAATGGAGATGTCATTAGGAGCGATTGTTCAAGTGTGTGCCACAGATACATATGTGTAAGAAGATGAATTAATAAAGTTCGACAGACGTCAATGGAAAATATGTCAATAACTAAAGGCTATTTTGGAAGAGATGCCATTTCGTGTAAATGATTTTTTTTTTGTTCAGAAGGAATAAGAATACTGGGTCGAATAAGGAGGTCATCCATCATCTGCTCCCTTAAAAAGGAAAGTAGGAAGCTATGGTGCTGGCCTGCCTACGAGGAAACCTGACAGAAGTTTATGATTGCCAAAGAAAAGCCAAAGAGTCTCTTGGAAGAGTTTATGCTATAGCATGGAGAAACAATCGGAGAGGGAACGCATGAAAAAAGTGATACGAAGGATGCGCCGTCTCCGATGCATGCACATTAGGGTGGTCCCAAAAAAAAGGAAAGCCAGAACTTTAATGCTGTGGTCGCCTAAGTTGTTCTATATTGAAAAAAAACGACCTCTGTTTGTTTTTATTTTGAAATTAAAAATTATTTAGAGGTCGCTCAAAGCGCTCAACGTTTCCCATACATTCTATATGGGGAAAAAAAATGTTCATAGGAAGCGTATAGAATTCTTGAAAACCAATATTTTTCTATCAGAAAACTGTGTTTCTCTTCAGGAGACTCCAAAAAAAATTTACAAATTGTTTATTTACCCATTTTTAAATAGTAAGGATTTTTTATGGGCCCCATTGCAGTTTTTGAAGGTTTTGGCGGACCTTTAAAATATAGTTACAATGAAAAAATGGTTAAATAAATAATTGGGTATTGTTATTGGAAATCTCCTGAAGAGAAACAGAGTTTTCCGATCGAAAAATATTGATTTTCGAGAATTTTATACCATTTCTATGAAAAATTTTTTTTTCCCCATATAAAATATGTACATACATGGAAAATTTTCAGTGCTTTGTGCGGCCTCTAAATATTTCTTTGTTTTTAAAATCAAAAAAAAAAGGAGTCTATCTTTTCGTTATAGAAAAATCTTAGAAGTGAGAGCATTAAAATTACGAGTTTACTTTTTTTACCACCCTACATTAGAGTATATTTAAAAACCGAGTCGCGACTGGACGTCATCTCATTTGGAAATGAAAGATGCACTACAAAGCGCACAACTTCTGTGTTGTACTACGGAACCTAGTACCTCCACCTCCTGAGGAATTTATATAGGTATGGACTGCTTATTTCCGTCCAAACATCAAGCAGCATTGCCTGTTGGGAGTTGTTATTTATAGAGCTTGTCTAAGAATAAACTTCATCTCCGAAAAATAGACCTTGGCGAAAGTTGTGTTTATTTCAAAGGGAAGGTAAAGCAAAACCATTTTTTCGACTGCTAAACCTCAACTTTTTTCTTCCTCAAGGTAGAGGGGTGAGTGGGAAAGCATCACCAAGTTTCATGCGATCTGGTACACATCGCTTTGTGTGCTGTATCCACCTGATCTAGAAAAACTGGCCTGTTTTCAACTAAGTTCTCTTTTCAAAAAAAAAAAACGAAAACTCCCCATATTCCTTTTTTTAATAATTTTGCTGAGGAAGTGAGATATCTGGGCGTCATTCTGGACTAGCATCCCTATTAGGTCATTGCACGTATACAGTGGTTATAAGTTCTACTTTATTCTACGGCATCACAACCTGGTGTCCGAAAAACATCAGTGAACTATCAAACTGCCCTCGTATTTCGTACTCATACTCATACTCACCCACATCCACATCATCGTAGTTGTTGTAATCGTATGCGTCAAACTCATCTGCACCCGGCAAATCGGCCTCTGGTTGCGGTTCCTCTGCCTGCGGTCGGTCACTTAATGTTTTACGGTGTTTTTTCACTTTTTTGTTACGCGTTTTCCGCTTGCCGACATGAGCACCAGCTGAATTATCTGCCAAAGCACACTCAAACAGAAAGCAAAGGACAAATGCGAGGCAAAGAAGGTGCGATTGTTTGAATTTCATTTTGTTTGCACAATATAATTTGTTGTTGTTTTTATTTTGAATTGAGTGGGAAATTCAAAATGCTTCGGGTTTTAGTATTCATAAAGTCATTTGCTGCATCATCAACTGCACATTGGAGTGGATATAAAACAATAAGAAAAGAAAAAAAATCAATATGAAAACCTAGCGGAGAAGCTTTTTTCGCTGTTATTTTGAGTGACAGGATTTGGATAGGCAAACTTGCACCAAAAATGAATTTTTTTTCACAAAATAAAGGTAAGGTAGTTGAAGCGGAAGTGGCATAAGCAAACTTCATAAAAACCGAAAAAGTGAAATTTAAAAGCCAAAATCCGCTATCCGCAGCAACTATCCGCACTCCCAGCTACAAAGCCGACCGCGCTTCGATTTCGATTTTGTTGCTGCTAAACTGTGTCAAATGGCCTTTGGGCGGACGGCGCTGACACGCTCGCAAAGTGGACTCAACACAAATGCATTTTTTTTTTGCTGTGACCGCAATTTGTTTGAACAAATCGTCGTGTGTGTTTATTGCGCTAAAAAAACGTTTTTGAACGCGATACATCGCCATCACCATAGCGTATTGTAGCTTTTTTTTCTGCGACCGATCTACATTAATCTCAGTTTATTTGGGCGAGGTCTTCAACTCAGATTGATAAAAAAATTATATACACAAATGTACACGCACAAAATCAGCCGTTAGAACATGACAGTTGTTGTCCAAAAAAGCAGCAATCGGCTATTTTTACTGTTGTTTTTATTATTAGTTTTTGGTTATTTTTTTTTTGTATGCATATCTGTGAATATTTGTATTTATTTTAGGCACTTCTGTATATGTGCGTGTGTTTATATGCGCGCTTTAAACTTTTTTCCGTCCGCATATAGCGCAATATACACATATATGTATGTATGTATGTATGTGAATCGTATAGCGCGAACTGTTCCTGTTATCAGCCCGCAGCATACATACATATTTAGGTACACGTAAGTATCTATGTATGTATTAAAATTCACTATTTTTATTGTTGGCCTGTCAGACAATTTTAATGACCAAAAATTGTTGCTTCATTGCCGATTAAAAACTTTTTTTTTGGTGCGCATGTCTTAGCAGGTACATTATCATTAATATAAAAATTTAATCGCAAACAAAAAATACAAATATTATTTTTTTGATAATTTAGAGAATTTCGAAATGTTTCCGGTTGGCTATAGACCGCACATTAGCGTTTGCGAAATTTAGTGATGGAAAAAAATGCAAATGCAAAATCATAACCGATTACCCTTTTTTTTTAAAAAGCGAATACATTATTAAATTACTAATAGCCTGTTGCCAACCACGATTACCAACCAATTACTTTTTTTAAAGTCAGTAGTTTTAAAGACATTCGAAAAAATTTTGTTACAAACAAGGTAAACTTCTTCTTTTTTATAAATTGTTTGCATTTATTAAATAACTCTAACCATTAAACTGATTACTCATAAAACCGAATACTTTCCGTGGATTTTTTTTAGGTGAATCAAAACTGAAACAATAGAATTACCTAGTCTTTTACTGGCCATAATACTTTACAATTTGCTGACTTAAGCATAAATAAAACGATTACTTTTTGTTAAAACTGATAGTTTTGAACACTTTGGAAGCAAATCTTAACATGCAAGATATGTACGTTTATTAATTTGCACTTGTATTCTGTATTCAATAAACAACTGGAATCATAAAACCGATTACTCAAAATGCCGATTATTTTTACAAGTCATTTTCGTTAACTTAAAGTCTGTCTAAAACAAAAACTACGATTTAAAAATTTTATTTTCCGTAGAAGCCGGTTACTTTTGTTAGAACTCTTTATAAACTAAGACAATTTATAAAGCTTCGTAACATATATTTAAATTTTCCCATGAACCTCTTACGTTGCAAATCGGTTAATCAAAATTCAGTTACAAATTAGGCTTCAAACAAACATTTCATACCGCGGAGCTTATTTATTTTTCAAACGATTAACCGTTTTCTTTTATTTTGACCAGCCAAACTTTTCGAAAAATTGTCTAAAATGATTTCTCGAAGCTACTTACATAGTTTTACAACAATAATTGAAAATTTTCACTTTTTAAAAATCACTTTTCATTGCAATATTTCGTTGCTAAATCATTTACAACTAGGGCTGTGCGATTAATTGATTACTCAAAATTTTAATTAATCATAAAGTATATAACTCAATTATTCGATTAATTGGAAATTATGATTATTCAAAAGTTCAGTTACTCGAGTAATCAAGATTTTTGATTAACCAAAAAAAAAAATATTTGAGTAATTTGCTTTATGATTAATCAACATTTCTAGTAAAATGAGTAATCAACATTTCAACTCTCTTCATATGTATAAAGTAGTTAAAGTTCCTTGCTATTTTGAAAACAACGAAAAATTTTTTTCATATACAGAATGTAAAAAAGAAAATAAGCATTTTCTAAAGAATTGATTACTCGAGTAATTGATTAACCGAATAATTGATTAACCAACTTGCTCGAGTAATCGAATAATCGCACAGCCCTATTTACAACCACTTTCTCGAAAGCAATTTAAATGAAAAGTGATTTCTTATTTGAATTTAGTTCGAAAACTGACAGAAGGTGAACCCGGCAGTTAGTTATAGATCCGAATATTTTTGAAAAAAAATCAGTTCTTTTATTTTTTAATAATGTACATATATTATCAAAATTTGTTTCCTTCTTCTTCTGATTTGTACTCGAAATCGTATTCGTCACGCTAAATAAATACATCACTAATGTAGTTGGTCATTTGTAGACGTGTTTCACTAAAGCATTGCATAATTTTTCAATGAAATTGATGTTCACTTTTATGCATGAAAATATTATAAAAAATGCGTTTTTTTTTCAAAGCTAAACTTAAAATTTTTTAATCAAAAACTGCACAGATAATTAATATCCATTTCTACACGCACACACACCGATTAAACCCGATTAACGAATTCTTTTTATAGTCGCACTTCCGGTGTCACTCTATAAATAATCTTCCGATTTCCACATTTCTTTAAATAAACATCCTTCATAGCATCCTTCCGCTATGCTCGGTCCATATCTGCTACGTGACCTACTGACCCCCTTTTCAGGTTTAGCAGCTGCCTTCACTCCTTTCTGCACTCCACACTATGTATTTCCTTCCGCACTTGAAAAACACTTCTTACCCGAGACCAAATGTAAACCGAAATCAAACGAACTGAAGCGTTTCTGCGGCGCGCTAGGCTTTTTATAGCAACCGCCGATCGCAGCAGAGGAAAAAAAATCGGAAATTAATTGCCCTAACGCAGAACTCTACCAAAAAGTTTTCAATCGGAGAGTTATCAGCGCGGCAGCGGTCCGCAATAGACCAGCATCCACTAACTACATATGTATGTATGTACGTACAATCAAATTTTCGTATGCGTATAAGAGCTACTAGAACGCGAACGTGTAGATCTGCAAGTCTGCATTGAGAACATAATTTTTTATTACGAACAATCATCGCTTTTGCTCTATTTGAGTATGGCATAACGCTCAGCTTTTCTTTGTGCGATCCGCTGATCTTGCTCCCCTATGCTTCAAATCGTTTACGCTCCCAGAGTTCGGCGTGGTGAATGAATGCGTTTGTGCGTTTCCACGTCTTATGAGGGCGATTGATAAGCCACTTTGTAAGCCGGCCTGGCCTGCCGGCTGGCTGGAGCGTGTCTGTTCAGCTGTTGCTTTGATTGTGCGAATGGGTTGATATTTTTAGATTCACAACGTCATAAAATTATCTCTTAAAAAATAGGCGACAATTGATTGTAATAAAAAACAAAGCAAAAAACACTTTCATTTTTTAATTAGGCTTAGGGAGCTACTGCTAATTGTAAGTAAATAAATAAATAAATATTTTAGTACACATATGTGCTTAAAAAGTGCCTAATATATCTTTCGCTTTCATCGGATTATTTCCTAAGTAATTAGGTTAACCATAGCGTTAGGTTAGGAGGACCGTCTGTAGAAGGATGCACACTACCACTGGGACTGTGCTATTTAGTAGGAGACTAGCGGACTTTTCTAATATAAGGGGGAACCCCAAAAACCCCTACCTGCTTTCCCTGATAAGTACACATGTACTAGCAGCATTAGGTACTTTATGACACTTATTAACAAGGTAATCGTTCATAAACTTACTTGCCTCTGCTCGCTTGTTTTTGCTAAAATTTACTTTATGTCACTTATTTATATGAAATCCCTAGTTAAACGAACCGAGCCCCGACCTTAACCGTGTAACGAAGTGATGAATCGAAAGTATCTCAATAATTTAAGAAAAACTAAGGCAACTCTAACTTTCAAAGAACGTATTAATTGGCAAATAAAAAAATTAGCTACTATCAATATAATTTGATAAAATAAAAAATCACATGACTCAACATTTCTTTCGATTAAAATTGTACATGCAATTCGGCGCAACAGTATAACAATCGACATACGAAGGACCATCAATTATATGTACACATATATATATCTACATACATATGTATGCATATGTTACCGGCCAAACCCGATCTTAGGATAAACTAGTTTTTCCAAGGCTAAAATAGATCAGGGCCACAGTATTTTCGCACAGAATACCTATATACATAAATTCATACCCTGTGGGGAAAATCTCTAGTTCTGAACTGGGGCGCTTCTAGTACATTTAGACCCAGTACTGGTTCGCGATAAATCTCTTTTGCTTGCAAGCAACTGGCGAATTTAAAATGGCGATGTCCTAGGAAGTGTTAATTGCCCCCCCACTGCATACCTTTTTCGATAGTTCCGAACTAGTCCTAAATTCTATAGTTCCGAACCAGTTCTGAAATCGACAGACGAAAGAAAAAAGTATCATGATTTTTTAATCTTTTTGGTTCTTCCTTCCGTGTGTGCGATTTTGAGTTATTTTGGAAGACATGTGTTTTCAATTTGAAATTAAATTAGTTTGAATGAATGTAAGAAATGTACGTTTA